ATAGTCATACCAAGAAAATGTCTAGCCCTGCCTAGTTAGTTGTACTGCAGCTTTACGCAAATGCCAACATCAAAATGCAAAAGCTAGTTTTAAATTGCTAATAAGGGCCCCATAAGGAGAATTTTGGCATGCAGTGTTTTTCCAAGACTTCAACAATATTCACAAGTCAACAAGTATAACATGGAAAAGGTAAAAGAAAAGTATGTCGAACTACGGAAATGGAAGGTGTAGTGAACATCAGAACATCAGAAACACCAACCTCAGTTCTGGTACAGTCAGCTGAAGGAAGTCCAACTGTTGATGCCAAGCTGACAAGCATTCCAAAATCGCGATGCTTCTGAGGTGACATAGATGATCAATAAGGATTTAAAGAAACAATGCTTATTATATCAAAAAATATTTCATTTGAGCAGTTTGGAAGCAGCAAAAAAAAAACAATGATCTTGGTGGCCAGCCAAAAAAAAAAAAAGAAATGGCAGAAGTGTATGCTAACCAGAAAAAATGAAAAGAATATGCAACATAATGTAATTGTATCAAGTCGCTATCATAGATCGAAAACTGACCTTACCAAAGTGTAGATGGTAGTCAAGAAGTTTATCATCACACCAAGCACTAACTGACATGAAAACTGCCTTCACTAGACCTAAACGTATCTCCTTTCCAATAGTTTGCCTTGAACATACTAGATGACTTATATAGACATCTTCCTTCGGGTTGCTCTCTTCAGTGGACGTAAGTTTTTGCAACTCCTTAATCGCACTGCCTAGAAGAGAAGGTTCACCTGTGCACACAAACTTCACAGAAAAGGAGCACATAAGGTAAGCTACCTTAAAATCTTGCCTGGGATAAATTATAAATGCAACATAGATGCAATGGTGCAGTGAGGATCAAACAACATAGAATAAAACTCAACCTGGCATTGTACTTAAACTATTGTGTAGCAGCAAGGGGTAGAGCTTAAACCTGGTTATCCAACTGTGAGTTTAGTTATCCTAAATTTTAGATTTCTTCAACAAGATTAT